TGAAGAAAGGAAGAGAAGTTGTGTCTACAGCCTGTCCAAAACTATACAGAACTCCTCTGATGCTGGGACTTACTATTGTGCTGTGGTCACATGTGGAAAGATCCTGCTTGGTGAAGGAACTAAAGTGGAGACACGTATGTATGCTTGTATGTTGTAGGTAAAACCACTGACACTAAACCGCTCCGTTTAACATAAATAATATAAGTTTGTTTCTTTAAATAATGACTCGTTTAATATTAATCAGTGTTTATACTTCAAGCACTTTTCATCATCATGTGTTGTATCTGCAATCCATAATACAGCATGATTTATTTTGACTAAACATTAATGACCTTTGACTTACCAACTGTAGATACTTGTGTGAGCTTATTGTGTTCCACCTGCAATTAGCCAGTAAATAAGTATAATAAGTAAATAATGTCTTTAGTGGTTCATAATGAAATAATACTATAACTTACAGTTTTTTCTAGAGTTGGGATCAGAATTTGGGTCATTTTCCCTGTACTTGGAGTATTCTTCACCGGCTACATGACTTTGATCTGCATTAACCAAAGGAACACCAGTGAAAGGTAGGGAATATTTACAGATACAGATAACTAATGCTTGCAGATTTAATGATTAATCAAATGCTTTCCAAATGGTATTACATAGTGGAACAAAATTTCATGCTACTTCTCTGCATTCATAATGCCATTAATTTAGACAAGCTCTCTTCCAACCACTTTATGTTTTGCACTTCATTTTGCTTTTTTCCCCACTTTTAATTTTGTTTTCATTGGTATTTAGGGTATCTAGGTCTGTGTAACTAGGGCTTTAGCAGTTATTTTCCCACCAACTGCCATCAACCTTTAGAAGCCACTTGCAAACGGTCAGAGTATGCTGCTTTTATAATAATAATAATAATAATAATGGATTGCATTTATATAGCGCAGACCCTCAAAGCGCTTTACAATTTCACTATTCATTGGATGTGGACCCTTTGTTCAAGTAAAAATATACACCTTTACACCAGTACAAAAGCAGTCCAAGTTCAGCCCAGGCGGCACCTAAAAATTCTTGCACTGCCACTGCAAAGAGAGTAGGGGTCACAGAGGGGTGTAAATCTTGGCAACACTGACCCACCTCTTTTTTGTTGAGATATTTATATTTTCTTTAAAAAGTATTTCAATGTGATAAATCTTAGAAAGCAGCCAAAGACAAAAATAGTTTTGTCACAACAGTACCGAAACTTAGTCATATGTAAACATACTAAGATGGCTTTGCTTTTTTAAAGGGGGAATGAGTGGGTTTCAACCTGTTGACAAGGCAACGTTGGATCAATCAAATAATTTGATAAATGTGTGCCACTTTAAAATTAATCGAGCTGTATAATATATATATTTTTTAAAAATATGCCAAATTAGAGATGGTCTCAAATGATATATTTAGACAAGATCATAAACCCTAATCTATTAAATACAAATAACACTTAAATATGTGAACATTTTGCAGAATGACAAAGACAGGACAACCAACTTCGCAGCACTGCGTTTCTCCACAAAAAGAAAGAACAGAAGAGCGTACACAGAGTGTACTCTGTTCTCCAAGCAGATAATTACACCTAATGCCCTTTCTAATGTGTGAGCAGTCCTTGAGTACCAGACATAGTATATTTATAAGTTATTAGCATTTAATAATAGCTGCAGCCTCACAGAAATAGAAAATAATTTTTTTTTGTTTTCTTGTGAGAGAGTGCTAGCCTTTCAGTTTGGTAATTAATCACCCCAACTTACTTGGTACAAGTTTAACATTTATACATGTCATTAATATTTATATTTTGTGTGTGTATTGTATTTGTAAATGTGTATTTTTGTATTACTTTCTCATATAGGAAAACTGATTGTAGGCTACTTCAGTATGCCTGTATATTTGAGTTTCAGATTCTTAGTGCATATACTTTTTTATTGTTTTAGTGTTTGTGCTGATTTTTTATTCCGTTTTTGAGTTTGTTGTAATTCCAATAGTGACTTTGATATCTTGTAATATTATAAAATTTTGGATTTTACTTCACAGTCCTCAAAATAAAAAGTTTCTGTTTTGTAATTCTGTTTGTTGGTTCACATTTTTGTTGAACTTCTATTGAGTTTTATGTTTCTGGATTGATTTGATTTCCTCTAGCTTTCCAGAGCGTTTCACTGACTTTTTCTCCTCTTTTTTTTTCTGTGTTAATGTCTTGGTACTACAAGACTGTTAATGTCTGTTTTCTCTAAAGGTGGGTTTTGGTTTTTGCTGTGTGATTGTCTCATGTTCTTTTTGAGGCGTACAAAGACAGAATTAACCAAGAAGTCTATTTCAAACTGTTCCAATGATGTTGGTTTACAGTTTCTTAGATTTATTTAATAAATGTAAACAATATTCTTGCTCCTGAGGGCAGTCAGGAGCCAGGTCAAATGACAATATGAGAGTCGCTTATTCTGTTCCTCAGTTCAAAGTAAGGCTGCATTGGTGACCCCTTGCAAACGACAATAGTGACAAGTATAGTGCTGGACTCAAAGGAGGTCAGGGAATTATGGGCATGCTCAAGTTCAACCCTGGCCAGGTGCAAGCTCCAGGTGCACAGGTAAATCTAGACCATAGCTGTGTCCCAATTCAGGGTGTGCATGCTTGAAGTACGCGCAATACGCGTACTACGTACGGTGCGTACTATGAGTACGAGAAGTGCGGAAGTGAGAGGCTTGTGAAACGGGACGGTATATGCTTCGTCGCGCTGTTCAGGTTGCCCAGCAACCATGATACTAACCATGAGACATGTTACATACAGCTTTGTGTGACAGAAATGAAGGAGAAAAATGTTTTGTTGGTCATTCATTTTTGTCATGACATCACTTTGATTAGTTGAGTAACTGAGGCTGAGACCACAGGACTGTAAACATGATTGTTGGACTTCATTTCTGTGCTGAACAGCCATTTAAGATTAGTTAGTAAACAACAATTAGTTAATGTTGTTCATGAGACTAAAATCATCTCACTGTGGTAATGTAAATATAATATGGCCAATATTATATTATTGTCAGATTATTATTAT